CCCATCTGAAGACTAGCTGAATGAAACTCCTATAACTGGGGCTATAAAGAGGAGGGCACATCAAGATTGGTAGGAAGAGTGAAGACACGAAACAGGCTGGTTCCACACTTACATGTGGCATTTCAGCATTTAAAGGAATAGCTTTGCTGTGGAGATCCCCCCGAGAGGAGCGAAGGGCTCCAGCCCCACACCAAGGCTCCCCAGCCCAGGGTTCCAGTACTAGGAAGAGGAGTTCCCACAAAATCTGGCTGTAAAAATCAGTGGAGATTCTGACCCGGCAAGTAAGGTGGAAGGCAGTAGTAAACCCAGAGGTCCCCTTAAAGATTCCGCTCACAGACTCACAGGCACTCACCTTGGGCTCCAGTGGTGGAGGGACAGCAACTCCAGAGGTGCCAGAGACATACAGGGAAAGACTGAGTTGTGCGGCTTCAGGGTGAGGTCTGGAGGGATAGCTGCCGTTATCCCTGTGTTGAGCCCTCTTCCTGTGCAGCATACGGGTGGGCGCCATCTTGCTTGTGTTTGAGCCCTCCTCCCAATCTGGCCAAATCTGAATCTGCATGGGCCTAGTGAGATCCTCTCGCTCTACCTTGTGACTCCCTGAGACCCCGCCCCACCCAACTCACAAATTGCTGGTAGCAATTTGTTGCTGGGCAACCAGCCCCACCCCACACTCTTGGCAGGAGGCTCCTTAAGAGTCAACAGGCCTCAGCTCAAGCACTTCAGAAGACGCTTTAGGATAGGCCACCAGCCCCTACCTGAGCTTTAGTATTTCTTGAGTGAATCTCAGGGTCTGCCTACCTGGCCTCAGTGAGGTCTGAGACTTTTGTGAGTGATTACAGGCTCAGCACTGGCAGCAAATCTGAATCTGCACTAACCTGGGGAACATTATTTGCCCCATCCTGGTGGCTCCCTGGACTCTGCCTCATCCAACTTATGTACTACCTGAGGCTCTTGCACTTGCCGAGCCTTAGAAACAGCGGGCAGGCGCCTTAAGACTTGGGGTGCCCTGGGCCTTTTGCTGAGCTGCCCCCCTCAGCCCGGTACTTTGGTTCTCAGCATGGGCTCTCTCACGTGCCTCTCATTCCAAAATAGACAATGATCAACCATGGATAGTTTCATAGTTCTTACCAGGTAACCCCAGGCTGGTCACAGGCAGCAGCTGACCTTGACCTGCATGGAACCCCCTCCCAAGGGGCTTCAGAACGAAGATACCTGGAGGTTGGTGTTAGACCTTAACAGAGTATCACCTGATTAGCCCAGAAGTGGCACAACCAAAGAGTGGTCTCAACAGGAACATAAGCCCACTTGAGCAAAGCTCACTTTGTGGGGTCAGCCTCAACACAGCAGCTCAAACGCTGTGGACCTGGCCAATCTTCATAGTCAACCTGAGAGTCAATCCCACCTACTAAAGTACCAATGGCAATCGAGGCTCAACTACAAGAGGAGGGCACACACAACCCACACAAGGGACACTCTTGGAGCACCTTGTACAGGAGATCAGAAAGATTTCACCACTGGTCCACAGAAGACACCTACTACATAAGGCCACCTGGCTAAGACTGGGAGACATAGCCTATCTATATAATACATAGAAATGAGCACAGAGAGGGAGCCAAAATGAGAAAACAAGCATGAAAGAACAGGAGAAAACTCCAGAAAAATAACTAAATGAAATGGAGGCAAGTAACCTACCAGATACAGAGTTCCAAACACTGATTATAAGGATGCTCAATGAACTTAGAGGAAAAATAGATGATCTCAGTGAGAATTTCAACAAAGAGATAGTAAACATAAAAAAGGTCATAGAAACCATTAAAAGGAACCAGTCAGAAGTGAAGAACACAATAAATGAAATGAAGAATATACTAGAAGGAATCAACAGTAGATTAGATGAAGCAGACGACTAAGAGAGATTTGGAAGCCAAGGTAGCAGAAAACACCCAATAGAAAGAGCGAAAAGAAAAAAGAATTTTTAAAAAAGAGGATAGTTTAAGGGACCTTTGGGACAACATCAAGTGTTACAACATTCGCATCATAGGGATACCAGAAGGAGAAGGAGAAAGCAAGGGACTGAGAATTTATTTGAGAAAATAATAACTGAAAACTTCCCTAACCTGTGAAGGAAGTAGACATACAACTCCAGGAAGCACAGAGAGTCCTAAACAAGATGAGCCCAAACAGACCCAACCCAGACACATCATAATTAAAATGGCAAAGGTTAAAAAACAAAGACAAAGAGAGAATTTTAAAAGCAGCAAGAGAAAGGCAGCTAGTTACTGCTAAGGGTACTCCCATAAGAATGTCAGCTGATACCGCAACAGAAACCTTGCAGATGTTGGATGCAGCCTGGAGGAAGCTATTTCCCGATGAGCCTTGAATTTCAGGTAGTTTCCTATCATTACCACCTTGAATGGTTGTAAAATACATTCTGGTTGTCAAATAAATGATATATTTTTTACTTTAAAAGTTAATTTTTGTTTTTCTCTTGTCTTCCTGTAGTAAACTAAATTCTTTCAAGAGCTAGCATCTTAAACAGATTTAATTTTGACTTATTTTTCTCTAAACTCATTTACATTTTACCCATCTGGTTTCATCTTGCCTAGTTATTTTCAAACAGCACAGAACAGTTAATGTTAGAAAACAGACCAGAACTAACCCTACACACACATAGTGCCAGGAATAAGAAAAATGTTTTTTGAATATTTTTCATTTATACTTCTTTGTTTAAATAATTTTTTGACACAAAATTTAGTTAAATGTTATGTTTAGAGTTTCTAAAGTATGCAGCCATGTGAGATCTTGAAGACAATTTTAGAGAAAAACACTGCTTAACTGCAAAATAATATGCACTTACTTATAAGGTCTTTACAAGGTATTTTTGCAAATATTATTCAGCTTGATTTTTACAACTCTATGAGGTAGTTGAGGAAGGTGGTGAAATCTCTTTTTCAAATAAGGAAATTGAGGCTCAAATAGACATATTGACTTGCCCAGGATCTCATGACTCTTTACCGGCAAAGGTGGAATTTAAATCTTTTCATGGACTGCATGCCAAAGGTATATCGTAGTAATCTCATTTGACTGAATTTCCCTCCTCAGTCATTCTAGAGTCTTTATATTTTGGCAAAATCAGTGTATTTATCTTAGAAATACCACACTTTCTACCATCAACAGCAGCTCCCTTCTGCAGAAGTCCTGCCTGCGTTATTAAATAGCAAATCCCTCTGAATTTTGGAGAGACTGTTACCATAGAAATCTAGGGGCGTTATTGCTTCAGGAGGCAGCCGCTCAACATCAAGTGTTCGAATACTTGCCCTCTGGTTTAGGAAGATCTAAAAAAGCATCAGCTTAATTTGTACATCTTTCAATAAAGACTCAGTTGTATTATCTAACTGGTATCAAATAATATTCAGTTAAGAGTTTTGTTTTGTTTTTCCTTTTCACCTAAAAAGTGACTGTGATTGTCAAAATTACAAAAAAAAAAAAAAAAAAAGCTCTGGAGGAATATCTTTCTTCTCCACCATGGATTTGCCTATTTTGTTTGTTTTATTGATTATGGGAAATTGATAGATTGGTAACATCACAGACACCATTGGTTGTGAGTAAATGATATCATCAAAATTATAAAGCTGCTCAACACAAACTCAAATTTCTGCAAATAATAGTAATGTGCGTATGTGTATATTTATAGTTATATTTATATGTGTATAGTTTATTCATTGTTTTATTTTCTTTTTTGTTTGTGTTTGTTTTTTACTCAAGGAACATCTAGTATCTTTGTCACAGGAAGACTGACAATATAAAACTGTTTTTATATGGGAAAACTCAAAAATAACCCAAAATGAATGGCAAGTGATAGTCCAACATTTATTAACAAGCTTCTTCTTGAATTTTCTTAAAGTAAAAAAAAAAACACACAAGAGAAGTTGCTTATACTTTAAATTGCCATTTTCTGTATTTAATTTTGTTAACATTTATTTCATTGCATTTATGAGTAGGAATAGATAGTGTATATACAAAGAACCAATACTTGGGGATGATGGTTTGCCTTCTGAGGTGCTTACACATGGTGAGTTCTCTTATCACCTGGCTTAGTCACAGCTCCCTTAACTGAGAACTTCATTTAATTTGCAATATCTCTGCAAATTGATCTCTGAATCGCACAATTGAGTCAGTTCTAGCAGTTTTGGAACGGTATTTAAAGCAACTAATTTGCCTTAATGCCCATAGGTTCTCAGCTCCTGAGGGTAGAGACCAAGCATTGCTTATCTTTGTGTATCTAGCACAGGACCTGCATATAGCAGGTGCTCAACAGATATTTGCTGAGCAGAACTGTCTTCAGTTACCTAATGGAAAACAGAAGAAAGGCATTTCTTTACCGAAATGACTGCCCCACATAGAAGCAAATTCAGCCTTACATAGAATATATACACTTAAACTCACAAATGCAGACCAGTGCTCTTCTGTGGGTACGATTTCTGATTGGTCACTTGGTAGCAGGTCATTGCCCTCTCCCACAGGCTCAACCCCATTTCTATTTTTGAACAACTTGGACCAAGTTCTCTATCCTCTCATCACATAAGAAACAGACTTAATATGTAGTTATTTTGTGTCAAAGGAAGATATTTAAAATGTTGATACTTTAAAATTTTAAATGAATGTTAATCAAAGGTAGTTTGTGATGGCTTGCTTTCTATGACTATTTGTTAATTATGGATGACAATTTCTTAGGAAGAGCATAAGTATTCTCTTTCACAACCCAAAATATTTCTTCTTAACAAACAAAATTCTTAAAACTATTTTGAGTTTTAAAAATTGCTGGTCATTTTGCATTTTACTAAGTGGTTCATTTGATGGATATTTTCCTCCTAAATTTTATCCCCAAAGACTTAAATTGAATTTTTTTTTGTTATTCATATTTCTTAATAACAGTCTTAATAGAAGTCTTAAGGAAGATGGCTAATGCTAGTCAGATGGGACAAGTATAGTTAATTTTTCCCCATGGCAATTATATATATTAGGAGAGTTTTCATGGCTGTTTCGTAGCTTCCTAGTGATATAGAATTGTTAAGACTTACATGATATATAAATGTGTGACTCATTACACATCATAATAGCAACCGTATGATAAGAACAATGTAAACAGCTTCTCCTTGCAACAGATCGTCATTAGAAGAATCACTGCATTCCAGGATCTGAAGAGGGTCCTTGTCTTTCAAGAAAATATTAAGTCCTGGTCCCATTTAAAAGTATACCAAAAGACCTCAAAATCAACTCCTTGTTAAACATCCCCCCTCCCCAAACTTTATAAAAATACTGAAATAATATTCTCTCCAAAAAAGCAAAGTCTGAGTTTAGAGAATACGTATCAAGTACATGCACAAAAGCTTTCATTTCACCCATGTATGAATGGCTCTAGAGGAAGATACGTCAGAAAATCATAACACAGTCTTTGTGGCACCTGACTAAGGGCAAGGGAAGAGGAAATAAATAGTTCCTAAGGTATCCTCTGTCCTATTGTTCGATCACAGAGATCCCATAGTGTCACAGGCAGCAAACATCCAGATATCTTTTCAGGTAACTTCCTGAGAGTTGGACTGTTCTTCAGAGTTTCTCATCTTGCTCCTTCCAAATGCCAACATTATTGCCTTCACTGTCCTCAGCCTGAAGTCAGCCATCCTGCAATACAAATCAGAACCTGTTGTAAGAGTGTTCCTAGAAAGCAGTTTATCAGATAAATTTGAGAGAACAGCTCAAATGATCCCTTATACTCTCAAGATTTAGAGAGAATTAAAAGATCATATAGTCCACCCAGAACATGAAATCTTAAAGACTCTCATATAGAGTATGACAAGGATGCTTTCCACAGTGTTCTCTAAAGGGTGATCTACAAAACACTGGCCTTTGAAATGCTCCATGTTGAGGTTCCCCTCTTAGAAATTCGCAGCGTAAATTAGTATAAGGGCACTGAGAAAAATTTAAAGGGAAAAAGATATATACCTATGTAGGTATATATAGCCATCTATTGAGAGAAAGAGAGAGAGAGAGAGAAACATATTCAACTTTGTTACTCCAGCATTTCCTAGCCTTTCTATGATATTTGTTAATTAGATTTAATTCAGCACAAGATAATGGGAAACAAAGAAACATTATAAAGGAAATATACATATTCATACTGCCAAGAAAGTAATCTTGACTTGTTCTTGTCATCTAAGGATGAAATGACATATACCGCCACAGAAAACATTCACACCCTTATATTTTTAAATGAATATAAATCTTGGAATTCCACCAAATGCAAAATACAGATTACAAATCCAATGACATTTTCCATCTGTTTATCATTTTTACTTATAAAACTAATAAATATCATCTGAACCTAAATAATAAATGTGTAGATCATTTCTCCTAATGCTATCCACTGGTCTTGACTAGAAGAAAAATTAATTCTTAAATTTGAAAACTCCTTTGGGTACATATTCAATTCTTGGGTGTAATTTTATCACATTTTTTCCTTCTTGCTTTTTCTCTAAACAAAGCTAAATGTCTTATTTGTTGTTGATCTGGATGAGCGTGAGACTGTATGCCATATGCATTTTACACAAGAACATATGAAAGTAAGTCTTAGAGGTCAATGAATCATCTTTTTGTTTTATGAGATGAGAAAATCGAAAAGGTAAGGGAATATCTGTATATAAAGGTCTGATTTTTAAATAATAAAATAAAATTAAAAAAAATAGATCTTTGTTTCTATTTCCTTATAGAGGTTGAAGATCAGGAAATCTTACCCATGTAAGTGACTGTCCTATACCAAAAAGCTGAAAATTTCTCCTAACCCAGGAGCAAGGTTTAAGTAATTTGAATGGTGCTACGCCAATAGAAGTGAGCTAATGGCTAGTCACACTGTTTGTAAAACAAAAGCAGATATTCATCTGAATTCAGAGGTGGTCCACACGGTGGGCACCATCTGAGAGCTCTCAGTGGGAATCCTATTACTCTACCCATAGAAGCTCTTTTTTCTGAGATTTCAGTGATAGCCACACTGCTCAGGCAAACAGGCTCTGTAGGCTGAGGTGGCACTTGGGGTGACTGGCACAATTTCAGACATCATCCAAAAATCTTATCTAATGGTTTCTTGCCTTATTTATTTACTTTTTATTTTTTTGGATCACAGACCCCCTTAAGGCCCTCTCCCCTCAAATGAGCATACATCCATTATGATTTCACATAAAATATAATGTACTTCTATGAACTCCCTGAAGCCCTTCTTTAGACCCCAAATTAAGATACCTTGCCCTAGGATATCTTCCTCCGTCATCAAATCATAAACTTTTTATTATTCACCTTTATGTATATATTCCCAGCTTGAGCTATGTTAGGCCAGTAGTAGTGAAAGGATAGGACTGAAATATTTGCCAAGATGATAGTAGGAGAAGCGTTAAAATCAAAGTTGATATTGCAAATCTATAGGGACAGAAAGTAAATTAGTTGGTGGCCTGGGGCAGGGTGAGGTTGGCAAGATAAGGAGATTGCTAAAGAGTACAGGGTTTCTTTTTGAAACGATGTAAATACTCTAAAATTCGATTGTAGTGATGGTTGTGCAATGCTGAGGATATACTAAGAACCACTGAATTTTATGCTTGAAGTGGGTAATTTTATAGTATTAAGTTGTATTTCAATAACACAGTTTTTAAAAGTTGGTGTTATAATAAAGGGGAAAAATGGCTCAACAGGAACTTACAATAAACTTCATATGACTGAAGATATGTGTGGCCTCCTTTTGATTGTCTTCAATGAGAAAAGAACGAGAGGAATTTTGGTTAAAGGTCGCTGGAGTTTTTCTCATCGTGGGAAACTATGGAGACTGTGTGTTTAGGACTCCTGAAGAGTGTGGAATGTGCAGGACCACCCATAAGAATAAAGAGCACTGGCTTGATCCAGTAGGATCTCTGCCCAACCCAATATTCTGTTTATGAGAATGATTCGGTAGGAAGGCAAGGGCTGCCTTTCATGACATTGTTTTAAAGGTTAGGAGGAACATGACACCCATTTCCCCAAATCCTTTTTCTTAATATACTATGAATTGTTGACTAATAAATTTATCTAAGTCCATCTTGAATCAATTTACATTTTTGGCTTGTTCTAACAAATTCCATATGCTTCCCTATTTGCTTGGGATGATGTGAGTATAATTTTTGCATGGAGGCAGAGCCTGGCATATAGAACCTTTAGGTCCCCATGTCTCTGATTCTCACCATCCCCTTCTCCATGATGGTGTCAAATGTCTCTCTCTCTCTCTCTCTCTTGTTTTTTTGTTTTTTTGTTTTTTTGTTTTTTTTCCAGTAGGGGCAAGAGTTTCCAACTCTCCTTCTCTACATACCAGTCTTTCACTTCCACTACCTCCCCTGAGTTTGGGCCCTGATTCTAGCTTGGAAAACCAAGCTGATCAGTTCACTGCACCGTTATATTGAATACACACAATCGTCGTGGTTCCTGGGACATCATTCCAGTACATAGACATGGAAATCTTGTCCAATTTAATTTTATACATGATGAAACCAAGGTCCAAAGAGTCTAAACCATTTGCCTGGGGTCACATAACTATCCAATGGCAAGACTAAAAAAGTGGTGTGTCTTGATTCCCAACCATTCTGCTTTGAAAACTACACAGGTTGCCTCCTGGACTCACTGTAACACTCATCTCAGCCCCTTTCAACTTCCCTATTCTGATTTTATTTGTGGTTTTACCCAACACTGACCTCACCATCCTGTCTAGTCTCACCCATGTCTGCTTCATCCTGGTCAGGTTCAAACTCAGTGCCACGGTCAACAACATCCACTCCAGCCTGAACCCTGGGCTTCTCATTTTCCCACTTGGCAAAGCCTTTGTCTTTTGCCGCTTTGTCGTGGAACTTGGATTTCATTTTGGGGAAGGTGTGAGATCCTGAGTCCCCCCAGCCATCCTCTGACCATACTGGCTCGGTCTGAGTGGCCTGGCTGGTGGTGGCCCGCTGCAGCCTCACGGAGATCTGACGAGAAGAACCTGTAACCAGCGTGATGGCTCTGCTGTCCAAGTCTCGGTGTCCAGTGGAGACGCTGGGGAACTCAAACACCTCATCCTGCACTGGAAGGGGAAAGGTTATGGGGATTATTGTGATTATTCGACATCTGACCACTTCACAGCAAACCATCAAATTTGGTGCAAGCGACAAAGTCTTAGAGAAACAGATCAGAGGCAGAATGAAATTAGCTACAGATGAGTTGCATGTTAGTGAGACTTGAAAGCAGCGAGAATCGAGGGGGATTCAAAGGTGTACCCACTGCTGCCCACCCTGAAGAATGCCCTGGTGTTTATAATAATTCTGAACAGGTTTAGATCCAGGACCCAACTGAGGTCCAGGTGGGGGAAGGTGAGCCAAGAGAAATTGTGGTGGGAAAGAAAGTAGAGGACATTACCTGGAGGCAATGAGGGGCTTCCAGGCAGCGACCCATGACTACTGCCCAGGGAGGGTGCCCGGGCAAATCTCCTGCAGGCCAGGACCAGGAGGTCTTTGCATTGCTTGTGACAATTGGCTCCACAGTCTGAAAAATCCCAAAGTATCACAGATGATTAGCTCCAAGTGAGTCTGGAGTTGACTGGGCTTGCAGGGCGGCGCCTGAGCTGTCCACCCTCCCTTTCCCCATCCTAGATTCTGTGTTGGATCTCGGAGTGTGACTCAGGCCCATAGGGTGTGTCTTGGGGCTGGAAAGGGCCAATGAGACTCTCTTGTCTTCCTGAAGTTCCAAAAGTTCTCCTACATTTGTTCACTTTCTTCTTCTATATGATTTATTGAGGTGCTGGAGAGGCAACAAGAAGGGAGTAGGCTGAGTGGGGAGTTGCCTTCATCCCAAACTAAATGCAAGTCACAGAGGGGCTGTTATTTTTCCCCTGCAGGCCGAGATGGGGTCCCCACAGAGAGGCTGCCTGAGCCAGAATGAGGGCAAGAAGCCTCAGCCTCTAGACTCTCCCAGAACCAACCGCTGACTCTGATCATTTACAGCAAGGGTGTCTTTCCATTCAGCATTTGTCTGCATTTTTTATTCTTCTTCATTTCCCAAAACCTTTTCCAAGACAAGTGATTATATCTTCTGCCTCCTTTCTTTGCATAGATACAAAAATTAAGGTGGGCGTATGCTCAATAAACACGTTCCAGATTTAACTATGGCTTGGAAATGGCATGTAGCAGGTTCTGTGACATTTCCCATTAAGGTGCTTTAGTTAAGAAAGCAGAATAGTAACTGCTACTTGGGTAGAAAATTTTGGCCACTTTGGAAACTGGCAACACAATTGTTGCATATGATGCGTGTCCTACATTTCCCTTAGATTCACTGAACAGATATGATCATTTTAAAGAGTATGTTTCTCTCTCACCATCAAAGAAGATTTTTCTAATGATTCCTAAAACCTATTTCCCCCCAAATGGTCTTGTAATGACATCATAGAAAAATTGAGTTGTAATGACATGTTCAGTTTTTTCTAGTTTTTTCATTCTATGTGCCTTTAAGAAAAAAATACTGTATGTACAAAGATGATCCAAGGGTTTAATTGATATTCTACTTCATAAAATTTTGTGTGTGTGTGCATGCGTGAGTGTGAGAGTGTGTGTGTGTGTGTGTGTGTGTGTGTGTGTGTGTGTGTGTGTGTGTGTGTGTCTTTGGGGAGATAAAGGACAAAAACCAGAATAAAACTAATGATTTATAGCTGGGCAGTTAGATATTGTAGTATCTTTGCTGCCTGAAAGCAAAAATTCGAGTTAGACCTTTAAGACACTGATACAGAGAACTAAAAGCATTTTTTTTTTGAGCACTAAAATATGACTCTTATTGAGTTTCATGCAAACATACTCTTTGTGCAAAGTGAGGGCCAAATATTGAAAGATGGCTAGAGGGAAAAAAGCATCACAAGGGAACAATATTAATCTGAAGGCATTCTGCGATCAAGATGTTTCCTTTTGTAGTTTTACTCTATTTTTCAAGAGCATTATCAGATCCTTAAATGAACTAGCATAAAAGGTCTGCATAAAACATTCAGCAATTTCTTAAATTAAATATCAATAACGTGTAATAATCATATGTGCTCAAGTAGCAGCACATTCCTAAATGCCTATAAAATGCTCATGTATTGCATTCATCGGTTATTTACAGATTTTAATTAAATAGGGGGGATACGTGAATGAATTTATTGAAAGAGAAAAAATAAGTTTTAGGTTCTTTCTCTTTTCTTATCATCATCTGTGATTTAGTAGAGAAAGCAAAGCATATGTATTACAGAACTAAGTGTGTATGTTTTTTTCCTCCTGAAGGATAAAGTTCTTATATACAGTATTCTAGTTAGGCTTGTCAAAATTCCCACCTTAACTGTGTGCCTATGATTAGCGAGACATCTCAGAGATGGGGGCTAGATATGTGCGGGTTGATATGGGGTGGTTTCCTTTCTCTTCTAACAGCTATAAAAAAACTTCAGTCTGAGCTCTCCAAAACTCCACGGAGTTCTTTCCTGGACATATTAATTCTTCAGCTGCCAGTGGCCCAAAAGACCCAAGTTCTTCATGATGCTCCAAGAGCTTTGTGGTTTCATCAGGTAAAGTTGATTCCTATCCCAAATGTCACATGTTTAAATTTTAACAAAGTAACATTTACTTACCTTTGCATTTGTAGCCTTGCTTGATTATGCCCCAGAGCTGTAACAAAAGACAAAGGAATGTCAGGGAATCTGAAGAAAAATTTGGAAAGAAAACAAGGCCACAGAGAAGGAAGTCCCGGGAAGCTGATGACTAGCGAGCACAAACAGGATGTAGCTGCTCCTGACAACCCTTCCTGTCAGATAGAACCCTCTTCCAGCCCACTCCAGCTGGGGTGATAACAGGAATTTTGCTTCCCTTTTCCTTCTGGGAGCCAAATGGGAGCTGGGATGGGAAATTGACGTTGGTGCATTTATTGGACTTTAGCATCATGTGTTCTCAGAAAAATTTACATGGGAGGCTTTATCACTGTCTTTGGCCTTCTTTTCAATCACTCATTGCTCTTGGTGCCCACTATAGGAAATTAAGCAACCTAAGCGGTGCACATTGCAGTAAAGCATATATATTTTGCTAGTTTATTTTCTGAGTAGCATTTGTACCTTAAAATAATACAGAAGAGGAAAAGAGCTAGTTTTTATTCATGTATCCACTCTCCGCATTTGCTCACTATTTGCCCTGTGCCAGGGCTTTGGGAGATGCAGGAAAGGCTCAGATTCTGCCAACCAAGTAGGAAGTTGGATGTAGGAAGTGAAAAATGTCTCAGGAGAGACATGAGGGCTTACAGTCTGATGAGGGAGCATTTGCTCGGGTGGTTCAGGGGCATCATTCTGGTGGTGGTATCCTCGCCCTACTGACACACTTTAAACTTCATGAAGAAGGGGCCTTCCCATGTTCTCTCTCATGCCTCCCGCTGCACTTGCTCATGGGCACCAGGGACACCAGATATATATACAGTATTGATGAATTAAATGGACTTAGCTCAAGTTGGAGAAGCTCCACTTCTAACCTTCTAGTGGTTAGGTTAGGTGACTGATATCTACTTACAATTATTTTGAAAGAAGCAAGGCTGGTGGCCTACTGGAGCTGATGGAGGTGTCATTCACAATGCATTATAGGGCAACAATGCCCTGAGTGTTGGCATTAGGGCCCTATGAAAAGAGTTGCCAATAGGAAGTGACTCGAGGGCATTAGGAGGGCTGCTCCTTACCTTCCTTCTGACAAGAAAATTCCAGCAGTGGAGAGTGATTCCTTTGAACCTTGAAAGTTATTAGCCCCTCAGAATAGATCATTAAGATGCAAATGTCTCCTGGGACAGGGCAACATTTCGCTTTGAGGACAAGAAGGATTATTAAGATAACTAACTGGAAGCCAGGCCTCAGATGCCTGGGATGTTAGGAAGAGGGGTGGAGAGGAGAAAAGGGAAATGGGTAGTCATGGCAATCACATCGTGTCGGAGCTATAAGGATCTTCAAGATAATCTAGTTTGTCTTCTTTTTTATAAAAGGAGAGTGTGATGATCCAGGAAATTAAATAATCTGCGAAGTCTCACATCTGGAAAACTTTGTAGTGATAAGAAATTGTTTCTTCATCGAGCCCTCAGTATTAGTAATAACAACAATAATAATGACAGCTAATGTTCATTGAACTCTTGCTATGGGAGAAGCACAGTTTTAAGCTCTTTCTGTGTATTAATTCATTTAATGCTCACAGTAACCTTATAGGATAGATAATAATAATTTTCTCAATTTTACAGATGAGGAGACTGAGCTGTAGAGTAGTGAAGTCACTTGGCAAAGTCTTATAGCTAGTAAGCAGGGAAAGAAGAATGTGTCACTTGTGGGAAAGACAGGAAGCCATTGATCATTGGTGCTGTGTGTGAGCAAAACCCACTGATTAAAGACAAGAAAGGATAGGATTTAAGAAGCATCTTAATATCTGGGTATGGCACATTGTTAGCAGAACTGCAGGAACTGCTGAAAAAGATATAGTCAAGCATGAGTCTTATCAGGAGGGAAAGTCAGGGCATTGCTTGCTAAGGCTTACTTAATAACTAGGAGACAACACTAGGCAGGAAGAAACTCTGGGTCAGTGTGACAGCCAAGGACAGGAGAGGGTGACTTCATATGGGTGGTTGTGTAGGAGTACTTCCCACAATCCTTTGATTTGAAGTTTCAGGCTGCTGTAGATTTGCAGTGATTGATTGTGGCGTAAGGAGCACTGGCTTAAGAAATCAGGAGACCTGGCTATGAGTCATGTCCCTGCTGCTAATGATCCATGTGACCTTAGGGAAGTCACTTAACTTCTCCAGATCTCAAAATAAGGGAATTAGCAAAACTCTTTCAGTTCTGGAATTCTAATTCTAAAATAAATGTATTGCAAGTAGGGTCTATTTGTCTCCCTTATTCTTAAAATGGAATTTATTTCAAAAGCAGGTGATCCAGGCACTGATACATGGTTCCTTGCAGTACCCCAGAATTCCTTTCACTAATATACTTACAGAGTTATATTTATAAATCCCTTTGTAAACTAATGAACTTTTTTTTTAACGTTTGTGAGTAAAGATCAAATCAAATTGCACCAGTAAAATTAAATATATTTTGAAAAATAAAAAAGCTATTAAAACTTTGAGCTCATTTTCACTAAACTTCAAAAGTATCAAAGAACACTAAAAGACAAAAAAGAAATATTTACTCTGTGGTATGTGACATGCAACATGTCTGATATCATTTAAGCATCATAACAATGTGACAGGTAAGCATGAACTCCCTTTATAGATAGAAAAACAAACACAAAGATGGTCAATAATTTGGCCAAGGACAAAGAGTTAATAAGGGGCAGAACTGAGATTCGAAGCCAGGGTTCCAGCCTCCAAGTCTGGAGCTTTCTACCTCATCAAATCTGTTCTGATGAGTTGGGGAGAGGAGTATGAAAGCTCCTGAGAAGTGCTACCTTGCTGCTTCTACAGAACCATCACCTGCATACAAGGGAGGGACATTCAGAAGGACCAGAGAGGAGACACAGCCCCTGAGATTCGATAAGGGCCTTCTGACTCTCATAACACCCCGAAGGACAGGTGTCTCAACCTGACTTTTGGCTGAGCCATGCCATGGCCTAACACATTCACTGGGGCCCTTTCTGCAGGAGATAGTTTCACATGATCCCATCTCACTTCAGCATTTTTCAGTTCTAGATACATCCAAAAATTCCTTTCAGAAGAGAGAAACATGAAAAAGAAGACATATTTATTTTATGATAAAGTAGTCAGGTGATGCAATCTCAGCGGTGAAGCTGGTGGAAAAAGAAGCTCTCCTCGCCTGGGGTGGGCGAAGACTGCTGGTTAGCCCGGCCTTGCCCCTAGTCCGTATCAGTGACCACTTGGGGCCATCTTGGAGTAACTACCGCCTCTTATTTACCCATTCTCAGAGGGGTGTGTGCTCAAACACAAACTCCTGCCCTTGGGCCTCCCAAAGCCAGTTCAAGCTTGGGATGGGAAAAATGTAATTTAGTAGTAGCATATAATATCAGCTGTGAATTCAATATAGGTCGACAGTGAGAAGTGACTGCCGAATGCAGCGAACATAACTGAGCTCTGGCATCTGGTAGAGAAGCAACAGTCATACCCACTAGGCTACTGGGCCACACTCACTTAGACGACCACATTTTCCATCTTGTTGTAACTTGGGTATCAACTAAAAGATGTTCAGGGCCCAAGAGTCTTCATTTAATACTAGAGCCAAAACCAACCTTAGTTGCCAAAGAATTATCAAAGGTGGGAGAATAAAGTGCACAATCTTTATGTGTTGCAGATATAGGTACAGGATTCAGTCAGAACACTTGCATTTGAGTCCTGGTTCTGGATATTATTGGCTGTTCGGTCCTGGGAAATTTGGGTCTTCCTCTCTAGACCTGTCTATCTTCATTGACAAATGGGGAGAATAAATTGCCTACCTCATGGGTTAGTTATAAGAATTAATTACATGAATGCCTATGGAACTATTTTATTACTGTTAAGTGCTGAGTAAATGTTATTTATTATTATATCTATCTTCTCCTCCAAAAAGACTTTTTTTTCCTTTTTGAGTTATGAATCAATGAGCCATGCCATGATGGATTTCTAGCAACTGACACCATATGAAACGAGAACTGGGAGGAAATGGCTAAGATAAATACTCCCCTTAATTGCACCCACTTACGAGTATTAGTGATGACTGCCAAGGCTCATTAGGTGGAACATTTTCCTGGCAGGGATTAATGGACAAACTGCTCACTCAATTTAACAGGGCTCACCAACCTTCCTTGACTTCACTAGCCCTGCATTCCTAGAAAGAACATAACTAAACCTGTAGATCTTGCTTTTGTTTTTAATTTAATTTTTAGTTTCAGGGAGCCATCATGTTTTACTTCTAATCTAAGGCAGCCAATAGATTCTGTATAGTGTATAATTTCCTACCTTCTCAGAATGCTACATAAATAACTACATACAAGAGAAAACAGTGGAAAACAGACTTACAAATCCTGCACAGTGTTCGCAGAAGGTTGGCTTGAGATAGGTCATTTCCTGGAAATTATGGACAAATCCTGGTCCCATTTTACAGTGTAGTTGGGACTTAGCTCTCAGGAAGTAAGCCATCATTTCATCTTTACTAATTAGGCCATCCCTGTGAAGAGAATCAAAGAAGAGAGGGATCTTTGAATATCATGTTGCAAAGTGGTTGCCACCTTTAACCGTTCACCTCCCCAAACTGTGGCGCAAAGCAGGTGGGAAACATTCACTTGTCTGTTATATCTGAAAGGAGCAGAAGACCTCATAGGACAGCTTTAAGTGCCAAAGATTTTCTTAGTAAGCAGGTGTGTGTGTGTGTGTGTGTGTGTGTGTGTGTGTGTGTGTGTGTCCTGTGCACTGCAGCACAGAACGTCTCCATTATTCGTGAATAATAGCTTCTGGAAGGATATCTCCTCTCTAGTCCTTGCCTCACAATAGAGTTTGCAAAATCAGGCTGCTGGACAAAGGCAGAAAATTGATAACTGAACCCACCATTCTCAAATTTATTCAGTCTGATGTCCTCCAGGCCACTGCCACTGGTAATCCTCTCTTGAAGTCATCCTGCTGCATTAAAATATAACAAAATTAAAACTTACTGATCTTTGTCCAGCACGCAGAAGGAATCCAAGAAGGGAAAGTTGGCAGCTATACTTTCAAAGTCCTCTTGGGAGATGTACCCATCATGGTCATGGTCATAGTTTCTAAACACAGACTACAAAGGAAACACAAATATTTATTGAATGACCATTTATGAGTCAGGCTCTAAACTCATTATTGGGAAAGCAAAGTTAACTATAATATTGCTCTTTCTATCAAAGAGCTTAGACAATATCAAGAGCTTTTATGGTATAACAAGATGAGTGCAATGTCAAAGATAAAAACAGAGTGTTACAGGGGAACAGGGAAGGGAGATTTTAAAAGTTTTCCTGGAGAAAATGATGTCTAAACTGAGAGCTCAGAGTTGAGTAGAAGTTAGGCTTGGTGAACTCACGAATGCCAGTACCACAACAATAGGAAATGAATCTTCAAAATGTTAAATTATCTCAAAACTTGAAGTATACTTTTAATGCAATCCCAATTAAAATCCCGGTGGGAATTTGTTTTAAGTGATCAAAATGATTCTAAATTTCAAATAGACATGAACACATTGAGAACAGCCTAAAATTGTTTTAGATGAGAATCAGAGAGAATGTGTCCTATCAGAAACCAAATAGTCTACACAGTTACATCAATGAAAACAATGTGATATTGTAACTTACTACAGAGTAGAGTCTGACCATAGATCTATGTATTTAAAAGAATTTAGAATATCAAAAGTATCTTTTCAAATCTACAGGGAAATTATAGATTATCCAATAATTGATGTTGAGTTAAATGACTAATAATCTTTCAAAACTAATTGCCCCCAACTAAATTCTAGATGCATTAAATATTTTAATGTAAAAATTTAAGCTATAAAATTACCAAAGGTAAACAGATGAAAATATTTTTCAAGTTTTATAATCGTTGAATGTGAAAGGCCTTCCTTAGCATGACATAAAAGTCAGAGTCACAAACAAAAACATTTTACTAAAATAAAATACAAAATATCTTAATCAAAAAAGCTCAATTAACAAATTTAAAGATAAATGACAGAAAATTATTTGCAACATATATTAGAGCAAAGCCACAAAAGGAGAACAGGAGATCACCAAAGTAAAAATATAAATGCCTAATACATTCACGGAAAGATGCTCAATTCTGCTAATAATTAAGAAATGCAAATGAAATGTGTTTTAATGTCTCAGATTAAGAAAACATTTAAATAATTGGTAATTTCATAGAGTATGAGAAAATAGGCTCTCTCATATCAAGTTGGTGAAGTAAACAGCCACAATCCTTCTGGAAGACAATTCTCACTCTCTGACATGGCAATTCCACTTCTAGAAATTGTTCTAAAGAAATAATTGAACAAGTTTGTTTGAAAATGTGTGTGTGTGTACGTGTGTGTGTATAGTGGGAGTTAAAATTGCACGGAATAATTTACAAATTATCAGTGGTTAACCTAGAAAGTAGAATTCCCAAGGCCTGACAATAATACTTGTATTTTCTATATTTTATGTAATATTTGAATATTAATGACTTTGACTTTCCTTATAATGAGAGAAAAATTTAAAAGATTTTTCCATTGCCCTCTGCTAAATTGGGTTATTAAAAAGGTTTGTAAGATCTCCCTGCAAACATATATTTAACTTGCAGTCCAGTTATAATAAACTTTGCTCCCTTTTTCCAATGGTTTCTGTCTATTCTATTTTATTTGAATTGCTCTATGTTGCAAGCAGCTTCAGGAGTATTTGAGGAAGTAAGCAAGGAATAAAAGAAACAAATTACTTAATTAAGAATATAATTGTTTAGCATTATAAGTTATCCATAGATAACTGAATTGTTCAAAATCACAAAGCATTACCTTTTTTTTTTTTGCAATCCCAGTATCAATACTTGTCCACAATCAAAATTGCTTAAAAATTTAACTGATTTGGAGTCCCTACTCTTTATAGTCTAATATCCATATTTATATTGAAAGTACAAGATTTTTGTGGAATAAAATTTAGCATGGAAATTTATAATAAAACCCAGTCTTTTGTTTGATTAAACCAATGTTAGGCAATTTATCCAGACTGGGAGAACCTTCCCATTGGAATTGGAGAGAGGAAAAGGTATAAGGAAGAGAGAGAAGGACAGAGAAAGAGAGAAGGAGGGAGGGAGGGCGGGAAGGAGGAAAGGACTATCCTGTGGTTGGGAAGCAAAGAAAGTCAGTCTGCAGAGAATAGAATGAGTATTCAGAGAAAAGCAGAGATTACAGTGGGAGGGAGAATAGTACTGCCTTTTATTTCCTGATTTCAGACCCTCCTTAGCTGCAACTCCATCCCCGCTGGACCTTCACCCATCTCCGCCGGCTCCAAGCTGGGTCTGTTACTACCTCATCATCGCGTCACCTTTCCTCGCATCTTTCCTTGCTGCCTGCCTCACATGCTTCATATAATTTTTCTCTCAGTGCTTCATAGTACCCTGGATGATCCAAGAAATAAAACATTCTTTTTTTTTTTTTTTACTTTAAATACCATTTCCTAGAAAAGACACAATCCTCATGTGTCAGAGGATGTTGCCGATCCATCAAAATAGATGTTTAAACAGGGATCGCAGTTTCCAGTGCCTGAGATGTTCCCACTTTTCTCACATTGGCGCTTCTATTCTTTCTATGCGGAAAATTCTGATAGAACCTGACACTACATCGAAGGATGTTTCTGACCTAAATTGCATTGTGCTACTGTGTCACAGACCCCAAACAGACAGCAAGAGAAACCATCCAACTTAAAGGGTCTTTCCTATCCTCAGCAATCAATGTATTGGGCATTTTATTGTGACCCAAGTGGGTTTTGAATGAATAGATTCTGATCCCCAAACAGTCCCTCAGGTTTCAGGGGCAACAGAAGAAGTGTCAAATGCCAGTGAGAGAGAGGAATTGAAAGTATCTGGGCAAGTGAGAACAGACTGACAAGGGGAAAGGGGACCTTTCTGGGAAATTCTCCCCCAGAGGCTGATGTCAGGTAGAGCTAAGTGTCTGCTAAATTATTCCTACCTGCCAGGGGGCCATTTTCATGGACTCCACCTGATTCTTGGAGAACATTCGGGGGGAAAAGGAAAAAAAAGGGGTCTACTAGTGCCCACTCTTTACACTCCTTTAACCACTTACCTCAACTAATTTCCTTATGTGCTTGTTGATGACTGTGGGGTCTGGCTTTGGCATCACTCCTGATGCCCACTCCAGGGGCACCACAGGCTTGGTGGGCGTCGTAGGGGAGGTAGGCTGCTGACAGAAAATACATACATTTTTCAGCCTTATGTGGGGCCTTGAACAATTAGGACCAAGGTCACTGAGAAAGATATATACAGTTTGTATACTGATAATGTCAGTAAAAACTTACATTTATGTAGCACTTACATGTTCTGAAAACAAACATCTTTTGTCAATGGAACCTAATCTGTAACTGCATACATGTTGCATTTTGTTTAGCAGCAGCTTAGATTCTATTATTTTAAAAAGAAAAAAAAATAATTGCTCTTCCATCTCATCCAAAAATCCTATCCAAGTTCTTCAAATATTACTAAAATGTTCTTAAACCCCTATATAATAATCCGTACAGATTTTTGTATAATACAAAATAGATAAAACACCAGTTATCTAATTCTTTAACACTCAGTGTTAGTGATAAATCAGGAGGTGTGTGCAGTAAATGATCACCAGTGCTTAGACACGTTTATGTCCTTATGCTGGCATTTCTCTTAACATACTTAATCATTTTGATTATTCAGCTAATCATTAGGTCGTTCGGTCCTCTTTGGTGAACTTGCTTTCTTCACAGGTTTTTCCACATTCTTGCAAGACATTTTCATTTAATGTGAAGAAAACAGTGGCAATAACACATAACATGTTTACACCACACAAGTGCAAAACACATTTCTTTCAAGAGACGAGCCAAGAGTGCTGTGCAAGTCATATCCTCTCCCTCACATCCTCATACAATGTAAATATTTTGGCGAGTGCATGCATGCAAACTTGTATTAGCAAGTTTTTAAAATTTGATACTGAATTGGGGAAAAACGTTTCTGCAAGAGAAATTGAGAAGTAACTGTACTGATTTAAACCCCTCACAGTATTGTGAGGTGGGTCTTGCTGGCATACTGTGGGCTACCAACAGGACCAAAAATTACCTGCCATCTGGATATGGTCACCTACACACATGGTTACTCACATACATCATGGCTCTTTCTAACAAGTTTTTCATTTTGTTGATCTGATGAAAAATAAACCCACAGTTTCTAGATTATGCAGCAAGGTGCCCCATCCAGAGTACTGCAGGAGCTCAGAGGGGTACCAAAAGATACATCAAACTTCCCAGGGAAATACAGTGATTCTCAATATTTGTCAGACACCACACAAACTACCAGCCTGGAGTCGTCAGAGACCTGTGTTCACCAGACTCAGTTTCCATAACAGAGTTAATGAGATAACATATACATGATGCTCTGCCAGGCGTCCAACAACCAAAAGGTAGCAACAAAATTCCTGGTTATAGGTAAAGGAAAGTGTCAGAGGTGGAAATGCTGTGTGCGCATGTGCAGTATAGCTGACCCCGCTGCAGCCAACTTCACGCCAAAGCTATGGAATGAAGGAGCTTACTAATTCTTTTTTTTTTTTCTCAATAATTTTACGTTTCTCTCTGTCTCTTAGTCATTCTAACTTTGAAGAGCGTGGATATTCACTCCTCCCTTTGTCTGCCCTATGTCTTCTGACGTAGCTCTGTTCTGCGGTGTCCCCAGGAGAAGGGCCTCTGAGGACTGGACTGGCAGGAGGTGAATGTGCTGGTGGAATCACCACCCTCACTATTTTCACAACAGACACTACCAGGTCCACTGATTCAAATTCACGCGCACGCCTCCCCCAGCGCCAGAGAACAGCACTCACAGTCATTCTGCCTCTTTTGGTCCCATGGTTCAGAATCGCAGTAGGTATTAATAGACGGACAAACTAGGATCTAGAGGTGCTGGCAACACACCACAGAGTTCAATTGGTAAGGAGATATGTGCATAAGAAGCAAACATAGACACTTTTTCCTTCAACATGCAAATCTCATCCTCATTGTAAATTTCAAATTCACCCAGGTATTTTTTATTAGTGCAAAATGTAGCTAAGGTCCATACAGCCCACTCTCTAAAACTAATGAACGATGTACATTCAGTAATGCGGTTTCCTCAATCTCATTACATAATGTTTCTTTACTAAGAGTCAGCCATCAATTAAACGATACACTATTCAATGTGATATTGAAATTCTGAGCTGAGGAAATCATTAGTAGAGAAGTTTGTAAATTACAATCAGGGTGTTTAAAAATTTAGTAAATCTGATTTTATGTTGAATGGGATTTTTAAAAAAGCCTGGAAGGATCTAAATAATTTTTAATGTTAAGATGAGCTATGGTAAAAAAAAAAAAAAGTTAAAAAGTTCACCTTTTTTTGGTCCTATATGTAGGTGAGTCCTAAGAGGGGACACAACTCATAGCAGATCAATAATAAAGTAGAAAATTGAAAATGATGTCTTTCTTCATTAGCCTATGTAAAGAAATAATTAGCAAACTGCCAGAGCTAAGCTGTTCCATTGCTATAATGGGAATAATATAGATTTTTAAATTCTTCAATCTTTAGATCACAAAGCACCACTGTAACAGACAATTACTATAAATGATAAAACATGGTGTTTGGCATCGATTTTTAGATGTAAAGCAATACTTACTGATTTAGAATTTCTAGGCTCCAGCACCAGTGACAGTTTATAAATATCATCTTCTGTGTGATAGAGGTCCAGAGAAAGCTACAACAAATTAGAAGGGATAAATAATTATGTTGGATCATATTTATGTACACTGCTGAAATATTTTTCAAACTGAATGTTTAAGTTTAATGTCTAATAATTTTAGTGAATTCAAAACAGTACAAAAATGGTGGAAAATAAAATTGGAAAGAGAAAAAGTTAAACCTCATGTGGTCATCAGCATCAACAAGGACCACTGACTCAATCTCTCAATATACTTATTGAGCAGCTCCTAAGGACTAAACACTGAGCTAGAAATAAGGCATCCTTGATGTTGAGAAGTAGGGGCAGATGCATGAAATAAGACTTGTCAATGTAATAAATGCTGTCTTAGAAGTTTCATTAGAGAACTGAGAAATAAAGCAGTGATTAATAGGTTTCTGTTATTTTAGGGCATTGTACTCAGTCCTGGTGATATAAAATGGTATAAAATATACTTGCTCTCAAAAACCTGACAATTTATTGGAATAAATAGGACCTGAACACAAAAAGGTATATTCACATCAATAAAAGGCAACACATGCTAAATATGAAGTAAATTGCCCCATTCTAAGTGCTATAGAAATTGCTCAGGGAGGCAGTATATAAAGTGTGAGGGAGAGGTTTTGGGGTCAGGCAGGTTTGAGTTCAAATGCTGAGCCTGCCATTGGTTAGCTCAGTAACCCTAAGCCAGCTATTTCTTTCTGACACTCAGTTTCTGCATCTGTAAAATGAGTGTGATCAGAAAACTCCCTAATGAATTAGATTTTCATCAAGATCAAATGAAAAAATACGTGTAAAATTTTATGTAATAAAATAATACACAGTCAAATTTTATGTAATAAAATAATACACAGTAAAATTTTAAGAAATGAACTTTGGTGTCGTTGATGTTATTATTATAATTATAGCTATTGCTACTAATATTATTATTATGTGTGGGGGCCACTGAAGACAGAAATAATCAAGATTGATTTATTCAGGAACTTGTGAATTGGGATCTCACTGGGAGGACTTGGACAAAGAAAGACAGAGAGACAGATCAGGGTAGGCAAGGACAATAAGACCAGGATTGGAGAGCATGGATAAAAGCTAGAAAATCTTAAAATGTATGGTCCCATTCACCTGAAATAGAAGTCATGAGACTTAAAATAAGCCTGGATAATTCCTGTATTCAATGTTAAGACACCTGACGAATCATACCATTTCATCAGCAGTGAAGATAACCAAGTGCCTGTCCTTTCTTTGACCATGTAGGCGTGAAAAATTTACTTTACTCTTTTGTCTAAAGATAAGACTTAATATGTATGGATGTAGAATGAGGGGAAAGAGAAAGAAGAAAGATGCAAGAGAAAACTCAGAGGGAAAGGATATCTTTCAAAGATATATATTCTTGTTCTAGCTTATTTTTTAAAAAGCTAATAATATCAAATGGCACTTTTGAATCAATCATTTGTTTATTCAACAAATATTTATTGATCACTTATTATGTGCCAGGGATCATTCTAGTTACTGTTCTAGCTACTAAATATAACACTTAAACTAAGGATGGCAGACAGCAGGTCATATATCGCTTTTCTCAGACTTTATCACTTAAAGGTGTTCTCTAAACGTAATAAAATTGACTTTACTATAATGGACACCATATCCACCTTCCCCTAACCAGCCATCACTCCTCCCTCTAGGGGCTCTGCCTTTTCACAAAAGAGGGCCATTCCCATGTCGCAAACTAATGTCTTAAGGAGCCAGCCTGTTTTAAAAAAGAGTGAATTGGGATACGTGAAAGTGATATTTTGATAGAGATGCTGTTATGACAATTATTATTTGGAAAAAGGGTTTTTCCAGATGTAAGTAACTTGGAGATCTTGCCTCTTAGCTTGACAACAAGGAAAATTTGGGCTGATAAGTGAAATCTGGCACTGAATCTTTGAGGTAGGCAAGCAATGGGGAATGGCGTGGTCTCTGATGAATGGGAGGCAGCCACTACTCAGCTAAGGCAAACTACTGTAATCCTGACAATTGCCATGTCTTGATTTGTCAAGAAATATCAGAAAAATGGAGTTTTATGTGAAATATTCCAACTTTTAAAAACCGGTAACTAATAACAAAAATTGTTTATGATTCCATGTAAGCCAAATAAAACACCTCTGCCGTAGGCAGTTGCCTACCATTTTGTAAATTCCACAATAAAAGACTCTGCTAGGCTCTAAGCCGCATGAAAGCAGACAGTGCGTCCACCTCTGTATTCCCTGGCCCAGCCTGTTGCCTTGCATTGTGAATGTTACATGCATAGAAGGAAAACCAAGTAATTTCTTTTTTTCGAATTCCTTGTTATCAGGAGTTAATCCAGACTTTGATGAGCATGTTCCTGTCCTCCTGATTTGGCCTCTAATGTCTGGCCCTGGCATCTGGTAGAGAGGAGATGACAGCAGTGCCAGAACATCTGACCAGAAATTCAGATAAGCCCCACACTGAGTAAAGGAGCTGCTCTCTCAAAAGACACAGAACACAAATGTTTGTTCTCTATTTATGATCGGTAGTGTGTACCTGGGCGTGTAACCTTTTTGAGTCTCAGTCTCCAGATCTGTAAAATGGGAATCGTAAAGAACGGCTCCCTTCCAGGACTGCTGTGAAGCTTAAATGAGCTAATGCGTATCAGAGGGCTACACAGATGGGGACTGCAGGGTCTGGCTTCCAGTCACCGCAGCAGCCAAATGCCACTGTTGTGAAGATAAAGCTGTGCCCTGGGTGATGCCTGCTGACTCTCTGCTTCCCAGTCATGATTCTACTACTTTCTCAGATTTCCTCTGGGCTTTACAGCCCTGTACAATATGACCTGTTCTGCTTCCCGTACCATCTTTTAAAAAATATAGGCAGCTTGTCAATGAGATTTCAAGAATATTTCCTAGCGTCTAACATATTTTGAGTTGGGTTGTTCTGAAAAATGTTCTGAGTCACTGCCTCACTTTGCTGCATTTTTTACACCCAAGCTTATTGACAAAGATAGTGGTGGATTCAGTCCGGACATTAGAATCGTAATATCCTGGACATTATAATTGTAATAGCCTGGACAGGAGAATTGTGACATAAAATCCACTTGGTCACTAAACTATCTGCATTCACCAGTTTTGCAATTCTTCTTCTTTTTTTTTATGAGACTGTAAAACTACAGGGGCTTTCCAGTTATTTGCATATACTCAGAATGGTAAAGATAACTGATAGATCTAAAAATAGTATGAAAAGAATCAAACTATTTCATATACCATGAAATGAGAAGCATTAGCTTTTAAAGTTCCTGGTGTATTAATTGGGATCACAATAAAAAATGTCTTCTCCAGATCTTTTCTGAAAAGAGGAACAATCTAATCTCCAACAGTTTGGGGGTGTGGTCTTCCTTCTTGGGGGCCATTCAGGGGGCTAAGGTGACAGTGATTGATTAAAATGGCATACAGAGTCCCTGCCCTCATAGATTTTGTTCTGTAATCAACTCCTTCTTTACGCATCCATAAAGAGGGAGAGACAAAGAGAGATTACTTAATTTTTACAGATGCAAAATAAAATAAATGTCAAAAATATTTCCACATTACAAAGTAAATGTCCATCCTAGATCGGGGGTGGAGCGGGGTACCACTGGCATCTTTTTTCTTTTCTTCCCAGCACAAAGGAATTATTACTTAACTTTTGTTTCTAGAGTTCAGATTTCCAATTTGCACCCTAAAACTTTCTTTAAAAAAATCCCTCAACATTTCTCTAAATATCTGTCATAATGCTGCTTGCTGCATTTATAAATCAAAATTCATTTTCCTACTCCATCATTATCTTTTGTCTAGATGAGAAATGGTCTTGCATGCAGGCCCCTGCTCTGTGACGTTCTCCTCCGCATCATGGAGACAGCCTGGACACGGACATGTGAAAGCCAGGGCGGTCTGTACACATCACCTGTGTCTGTGGGTTTGTAGTCTATTTGAGGTTTCCACTCTGGTCTCTTATTCATGGAAACAGATTTACATGGCAAATGATTAATAAATGCAGGTGCCTGGATTATTGTGAGGTGCCTTTTCCCCCCAATAGAAAATGTCTGTGTGTTTACTGTTTGTCACACAAACTCAATCCCAAGAGATTCATGTTTTTGTGCCTTGGCCACTTCTGCTTTATACTGAGGGTGCGGCTGGCATCCCTGTGTACACTTTAGGGGTTCTCTTCTTTGGCAAACAATTATGTGCTCTAGGAACAGTTGGTGAGAAGGTGTAGGAGCCGCACTCTTATTCCAGTGTGGCTGTCTTAGAGGATTTAGGTTCTCAGAGCTTCAGAAAGGTTATTGTTTTCATTTTCCATGGCCATTAAAGGAAGATAGTCAATTCAGTATTGCAGCCAAGTTTCAGACGTTACAGCATTATAAAGCCAAAGAGGAAAATTGCTCCTCCACTTGTTTAAGCAAAGGTGAGAATGTGGTTATGCTTCTTCCCCCTGACAAAGAGGCAGCGAATGGGAAATGTTCTCTTCTACACACCTGTTGTGTCTATAAGTGCTAGGTCCCAGAGACCAGCTAAAGGTGTGTGCCACAAATGCCAAAAAATATGAATGGTAAGTGGACTTCTGTCATTCCTAAATGCAGCATTCAGTTCATTGTTGAGCCCCTAACGATGCCAGGGATCATGAGAGGTGCTGGGGACATGTCATGTATGAGACATGTAAACAGAAAAAAAAATCTAATGCCAAGAGATATCTTGGGGTTTGAGGAGGTAACAGTGGGGAGCAGGGAGATCAGAGGAAGCCCTGGCATTACTCAAGGTGTCAACAACAGCAGTGCAGTGATCGTAAACAGAAGCCGGTGAGTTGAGGACACACAGAAGGAGATGATTAATTACACGAGTGTGATAAAGGAGAGCGAGGGGCTGAGGACAGCTCTGGGGGTGCCTCTCTAAGAACCTCAGAAGCTGGAGCTGCACGAGCAGAGACTGGGCTTCTCAAAGCAAAAAGGAAATTTCTTTGCTCTGGGGTTAGAGTCTCAAGTCATGTGGTTAGGGATGTGGGGTCCCCTCCCCTCATCCTTTGAGATTTCTCCCTATCCAGTTACCCTGAATTTAATTTCCCTCCCTAGTGAATTACTGGCATAGATCTCTTGTATCCTCTGAGAAGTGAGGTACAGAAGAGTTATTAGCACAAATCCTGGTTCCTTGGACTCACTGTGAGCAGGTTGATCAAATCCATGTTGGGTTCTAAGTGGTGAGAGGCATTCTGCAGGGAGACCAGTTCATTCAGGGTGACAGAGAGCTGGTGCATTTTCACAATGTTCACTTTGTTCTCCTCTGTCCAGTCCGGGAAAATGACATGGACCGCTATCAAGTCTTTCAAGTGCACGCCAAGGATGGGGATTTTGAAGCCATCACAGTCAGCAAAGGCCTTGCGATAATTGCAGTAATTGCCATTGGAGGAGACCAGCTCTGTCATTTCATTCCAGTTCTGGGAACAGATGGAAAGTAAAATTTTCAGACAGCCTTCCTTTCTGCCCACCCTCAGACCTGCAGTGTGTGGCAAGGAAATTCCTTAGCTACTGAGAGAAGTATCAATTGCACCAATGTTGATGCAAGGAAACATTAACCAGGAAAAAAAGAAAAATGTATTAGGCCAGGCTGTGAGTTGGACAGCCTGTTCCATTCTGCTACAATATAGAAATAGCCTACAGCTCTGCCTACCTATTGGGGATGTTGGGATGTTAAATAACATCATGTATACATAAGTATTTTGCAATTAATGGAAACATTACGCTTCACAAATATAAGCATATATTGCATTACATTTAAAGTAAGTATATTAAAATTTCCCAGTTAGTCCAAGAAAGTTGTTTTGGAGATATTATTTGAAGGTTAATCTGGGACAATATAGAGTAGAATATAGAGTAGAAAAAGTTACACTGAGGTATGAGATAGCTGTGGTTTTAGACTCTACCGCTAACTAGAAGAGTGACCTTGAGCAAGTCATCTAAATATGGAGGGCCTCAGTTCCCTTCCCTGTAAGAAAGAGTTCAAATAAATAATTTTTGAAGATACTCTTGTGGTTCCAAGCCTCTCTGAGCCTCTGTTGAATTTGTATTCTTCACAACATTTAAAATGTGTTTTTTTTCTTTACTTGAAATTCAGTACAAAGCTAAAGGAAAATGAAACACTTACATAATGAACCCCATCCTACTTGGAATAAGTGCAGTGTTTGAGGTCAGACAGCAGTGCTTCTGTGGTTTACATCCTCCTGTTTATATGGACAAGTTATTGTTGGTTGCCTAACAGCAACCAGACCTTTCTAAGAGACCCCAGTTTTGATCAGTCTACTCTTCCCCAAAGCATCCCATGTGACTCAGATGGAGCTGTTTCCATTCCCAGGTCCAAGGATGGGTTGATTTAGCATCATCATAATTCTACCCCTCCTGCTCATGATTGGTTCAGGAACATGTAGTTAAGCCATTCAGTACATTGTATTCTTCTGGCAACTGTTATCAGTTCAGGAGTGGGCATGTGACTTGAGATGATCCAATCTGCCTAAAAAGAAGATCTTTAATTCCATGAGGGCAGGGCTGTAGAGGGTTCTCCCTGTCCCCACCTTTCATGAACAAGAGAGTATGATTTTTTGTTGCTGCTGATAGCCCAATCAGGAGGGAAGTTAGACTGATGCGGAAAACAAAAACAAAAACAACAACAGACAAAGCATGTAATACTCAGAGGAAGGCACAGCAACTGAGCCACAGCTCTGATCAGACCATGCCTGAAATTAGCCCTGCCTCTGAGCTTCCAGGTATGTGAAAAGATGATTCATTTCCTTATTGTTTAAGCAATTTTGAGATAAAAAAAAATTACAGTTGAAAGTGTCCTCACTGATACAGCAAAGGACACTCTTATAACAAAACCTTTTCCTAAGAATAAAATGTTATCTTTTGCTTAATAAGGAAAAATATTATTATTGTAATCTGGAAATAATATGGCAGAAAAGCTTAATTTGGGAAATAATCATTTTTTTAAATATACTTTTGTCCATGATAACTCAGCTATCATATAAAAGAATTTCTATATCTTCTATACAAAAAGAATTTGTATCTTCTGCGGTGTCAAACACAGTGCCATGAAATAGAGCAGGCATTAAATGACTTCACCCGAGGAGGGGAAGGGAGGAATAATTTCTGTCTTATTTACCTTGTATCCTCTGTGTATTTCACAGTGCCTGTCACACAGGAAACACCAAATACATATTTGTTGATTATTTACAACTACAATATGTTAATGGCATTCAGGTACTCTTTTTGGGACACTTGCCACCATCTCTAATCTGTTTTCCAGGTGGCATGGCTATTTCTTTCTTATTTTATTCCCCATGTGTAACCTATCATTGTCTAAGAAGAAAACTGTCCCTTCTGAGTGACATTTGTTAAGCATATCCTACCCCTAAATAGCTTACAAATGATTTTTTTTACTTGGAATTAGGATACAAATCTACTGTACCTTTGTAACTTCTGAAGAAAGATGAGAATGGGTCTCCTTAAGGCGTGAAATGGAACTATGACTAAGGCCTCCCACCACTGCCATCAGGGTATTAAAATTTTTGAGCTGAAGGAGCTTCTGCAATAAAAAATGTTAATATCAACACTTTGTAACAATTTTCATATTATTCCAAGCTTTCTGAATTACAGGTGGATAAATGTACAATTTAATAACAGGAACCTACGAAAAATAATATCTTAAAATGAAATGCAAATAAAATCCACTAGAAAAATATATCAATCATTTCACAGAAAAATACCTCCATTAAATGCTTTTAAGTATTGCCAATTACAAGCCATCTTCTTGCATGAGAAAAGTATGATTTGTTCATTAGACATTTATGAATAGTTTGATTGTCCTTTATATTGTAACCCCCAAATTTCCTCAATGACTTTTCTCAATACAGTGAATGAACATCCAGAATCCTTAAAGAATTCCAGTCTAATTACCAGACATACATACCTTAGCAACATTGATAAATTTTGTGATGACTTCTGCCCTTTGCTGGGGAGTTGGTTTGCTAAGAACCATCAACTGGACCCATTTAGAAATTCCATTAAATAAAGCAATAGATCTCTCCAAAGTTGGGTTATTCTCCAGACAGCCATGGATAACATAGCTTTGGTAATCAGTGAACTAGTAAAGGAAGGTTTAGAGAGTCTGAATTATAATGGAGTCTTTGCAAAATCAGAAATTAGAATGTTGCATGAAAGTGAGATATTATTTCATAATAATGTGATGATTTCTTTCATTTCATATTTATAACGGCATCTTCCAAGTTTGGACATACATGTACTTTTAGCATGTTATTTTGCTGCATTTCATTCTCCAGTTCAGACATACATCATTACACGTCCATGTTGGTAGGTCAAGAAAGGGATAAGATTCAAAGTCACATTCCAGTGAGTCCCAAATTTGCTGGATTATAATATCCACCTGGGGGTATTTGCTAAAATAGTGGTTTCTAGGAACACCCTAAAGATTCAGTATCTGCAGAGGAAGAACCTAAGAATTTCCATTTTTCACCCATGACTGGCGATTCTAATGGTCAGGCAAGTCTGAGATACAATAGCATACATTACAGAAGAGTAAATGAATACAAATATAATGATTTCAAGTCACAATTTTGTCAAGTGTTTTAAAGAAAAAAATAGTAATCGAAATAAAGCATCTCTTTAGCAAAATAGCCTCATTTTCAGGAAGTCAGTACGGAGGTTATGCAATACTTATGAGCTTATCACACACACAGGGCCGGAGCTTCCTCTCATGGCCTGCCTGCAGGGGAATCAGTAAGGCCCTCTCCTAGTAGGATGGCGTAGTAAAAAGAATCAGTCTTTCAGAAATCCATACTTCTAACCTCACATTCTTTGCAAAGAACAACATAATTCATTCCCTGGCATCTTGGAAAGGAAGGAGGAAGAGTGACTGCTCCAGGGTTTGATGAGACAAAGACAAAGGAAAGGCTGCTGGTGAACCATTGTGGAACTATTATCATAACAAGTGGGTAGTGAGTGGGTGGCTAGGAAGAGACCATCGTCAGGAGAAAGAAAGGGGAGGTTGAGAAGAAATGCTATCACAACACAGTAGGAAAGAAAATTTTAATTCAGGGTTTCCATCGCTGGGAAAGAAACAACCTGATGTTGAGATTCTCCTCGAAGCCTACAATTCCTATTTTCAACCTATACCCATAATTAGGCATTTGTACAAATCCCGACCTAAATAAATATTTCTTTCTCCAAACAAAGGGTCTAGCAAAAAAACTGTTTACTTGGGAGAAGTCAGTGGAGCTAAATATACCTCAAATGGTTAAATCTCTACTGAATATTTAGAAAATCATGCTTTAATCCTATGAAGGGTAACATTGAAAATAGCGACAGAAATATAGCTCCTGAGCCATCAAATAAAGACAGGATAATATTTATTTTTGGTTGAGAGGGATTGTTCCTGTGAATTAAGGGCACTTTTCCAATAGAGCACAGTAAAAGAGGCTGCCAACACTTCAGAGTATGAAAATGCGGTTCTTGGGAAAGTTGGCATACTGGTTGTTATCCTTGGAAGAAAAAATGTCAAGTTTCTTACTGAGATCCTTCTAAAAGATTTATGCTCCAGAAAAGTGAGGTGTTCAGCCAATTCAATGGGCTCCAGATGGTCAAACAGCAGACAGGCTTTTCCCTTCTTGGATACTTTTTTCCTCTGTGTGACTCTTCTCATCCAGTCATAAGAAGGACTGTAAAAGGAAAGTGAGTCTGGTCAGTTGGTCAGTTAGCCAAAAGCTCATTTCACTCAATGGAAGTTATTAACCTACTGACTCTGTAACTCTTGGCCTGCTTCCAGGGGCTTGTGCAAAATACATGCCCTGCCCCGCGTATTTCAAGAATAAACCACTGACCTATCCCCAATAGGACATAAACTTCAAGTTGTTTTTCCAGACAGGGTGGGTTTGCACTGATTCATCCAGAATCTCTTACTTGGTCTTTCTTGTGGTCAGTAAGGTTGGGATCATAAGGGAGAGGTCAGGGCTAGTGCATAAATCTGGGGGTTTATCAATATATAGATAGTGATTTAAAACATTGAGGAATCACCAGAACCTGGCTGGTTCTCACACTTCAGCAAGATATGGATGATCTGAAAAGCTTGTTATAAAGACAGAGGCAGGGACCTCACTGCCGGAGATTCTGACTCACTGGGAATAAACCTGAATAATCTACATATTTAATGACATGAGTCCTGGATCACTCACTGTTGATCACACTTGAAGAAGTATTCTGGGAAAATAGGCTAGAGTACGAATGCCTAGGACACAAGAGCGTATATTTGCAAGATGGATAATCATACTTAGGGTTATAAAATAGTTTTCTCTATGCAAATTTAACTACTTGATATAAAACACTAGCCTAATTAGCACCACGTTCCTAATAACTGAACTAACTGGTTCATAGTATCTCTATGGTCAACATTTGTACAGCCTCAGGCTGACCTCAGATGCACCATGGTACAGGGCTTCTCAAACTTGAATGAGCATATGAATCAACTGGGGATCTTATTAAAATGCAGTTTCCAATTAATCAGGTTCGGGTAGGGCCTGAGATTCTGCATTTCTATTGAGCTCCCAGGTGATGCTAATGCTGCCAATCCACAGACTACTCTATGAGTGGCAAGAGTATGGGAGACATTAACTAGATTCAGTAAGTACTGAGCCTCTATTATATACCAAATGCTTTTACATGCCATCCTATGAACTTATTGGATGCTCATGATAACCCTATGAGTGGGAGACATTAACTAGATTCAGTAAGTACTGAGCCAAATGCTTTTACATGCCATCCTATGTACTTATTGGATGCTCATGATAACCCTATGAAAAAGGTACTATACCCATTTTACAAATAAGGCAATAGAAACTTGGAGAGATGAACTACATCCAATGGCACTCATTGCAGCAAGGCTTTCCTCAAAAAAAGCACACCTTTATTTTGAAACGATATGGATTAAGGTCAAGTGGGGTCATCACTGCTTCCTCCCCCAAACAGTGGACTCGTGTTTGAAAGAAGCTTATGCCACTCTTACATGCTGGATATGTCGATGAGGCTGATGTGTTTTTCATATCCTAGTTGGCTAGCTGCTTCTCGGAATTCCTCAGTCATACGGATCAAACCAAGGTCCAAATTAAATTCTGCAGGAAACTTCAGAATCCAGTACCTGAAACGCATCAAACATTTTTGACAACCGGATTTTAAGCTGGACCTGTATGAAAACTATTCTATTATTTTACAGGTTATATCTAACGATGCACATCCCCAAATTAGTGATCTCCTGTCCCCCATCAATCGCTTGTCCCTCCTTCAATCAAGGACCCAAGTCCACCGCTCCCATGCTGAGCCTCTTTCCAACTCTTTCCAGAAGGAAACCGTTCTCTCAACTCATGGCAAGTAGGTGGGAATATGTATGGTGAGGGAGTAGAAAAAAAAGAATTTACTCTAACAGTTGGTGTCATTCCCTAATTACATTAACCACTGCTTGAGCTCTAGTCCAAAGAAAGATAAATTCTACCCCCAATGACAGAGGAGAGTCAATTTTAACAAAATCAGTGAAAGGGGAACCCGAGTGAACTCTGCTGTCGGACTAGGTCTGCGGCTCGGGGAAAAGGAAAGCGTCAACCGTTTCAGAACCAGAAACAAATTTATAAAGATATTTACCTCATGAAGTAGCAGATCTTTAATCGAAATTCATCACAGCTTTCCCCGCTGGCATTTCGGTACGTACACTAGTTAAAGAAAAACTCCTTGCACCTTGTTTCCTCTGCACATACCTGCCCTGTTTGATCAATTTAGGTGAATTCCTGATAAGAGGGCCATACTGGGAACAGTTGGGTTATGTGGATGTTCAAATGGGGAGAAAAGTGGGTTCTGATGATGTCGGCACTGAATAATTAAAACAATGTATTATTGCTCTGGAACATACTTTTTTGGTCTGGAAGAGAAGCCACTTATAAAATCTATTTTACCTTCCTGAGCACTCACCAAATGATGACTGTCAACTATAATTATAAATATACTACCAACTAGAGATAATTTAAATTTGGTGGTACATAGTAGCACCATTTTAGCCAAAAAGATTTTAGGATTAATGCCTTATATATGTATTTAGGATTAATGCCTTATATATGTATTCTAATTTCTTTAGTATTTGAAAATGTAATTTTCAAGTATATAAATACACAAGTTGTGTTGCAATTTATTTTCAAGTCTATTTATTCACACACTTTCAAACACATATTACTGAGCTCCTACTATATGCCAGGAACCATGGGTACGCAGTGAGCAAGGGATCTGAAGGGAGGAAAGTCTAAAGAAATGTTGATTCGCAGTTACAACTTTTATAAATCTTTCTTTCAGATACTCAGCTTGACTGTGCCATTTTTATTTGTATTGCATACATCACCGGACACACAAATGATGAGAATGCTGTTTGGGGCACATTCTTCAGACAGTATTTGGATCCTAAGGTGGGGCGGGGCTGGAAGGAGTCAATGTCACAGATCCATCAGTCTCTGTGCACTAGTCTCAATTGTGGGACCCGTGAAACCCTTGGGCCACTGGGGACTAGGATCTGGCTCACTTCCAAGGACCTCTGTTCAGAGTGAATGTCCTCTTACCCTCTCTAATATCTCCTCCTGCCCTGAGGTTGTGGGAAAGATGGAGGGAAGTAGTAGAAAGTGGAGGAAGTTGAAGTGAGTAGGTGGATGCCCTACCTGGCCCTAATTCCACTCCAGAGGCTCTCCCCTTCCAGGCTTCTCGCTCACCTGCAGGGCCCTCTGGCTTGAAGCAGGCAGAGACTATAGCAACCAACATTAGTGATTATATAATAAACATCTGATATTGGGAAATGAAGCCTCCTTATAAAGTGAGACTATTTTGCCATTTTCGGTCATTTGGCTTTCAACCGCCTTTTAAGACTGCATTGTGTACAAAAGTTGATGAACTGCTAAAAGCCCTTATAGAACAGGGTTATTTTTTTTGCTCTTACGTCAGAAGGAAATCTAAAATTAACATCAATCAACAAATTACAATAAACCTGCTAGAATGTTCTTTGTGTCTTGCCAGCAAGGAAAGATATAAAAACTTAGGTGGTGTTTGTACCTGAGCCAGATCATATTATTTTGGCTGGCATTTCCAGATGTCTAAATTGTATCCTCTGGGTCCACAATTTTGTCATTCTAAAAGGAATAATTTAGGTCTCAGATCAGTGTTAAATATTCTTTTATTGTGCTAACAGCAGAAATGTTTAAGACAGGTTAGAAACATTCAGCCTACAGCTTCTGTTTCATTTTCTATCTAGTGATTATTTTCAAGTAGAGCCAAAACATCCAGATGGAGAGTCAACTGTTTGGTCCGTCCTCCAGATGTTTTGTCTAGACATCTATATATATTCACAAAACAGCTGGATAACTGACTGAAGACTGTTTATTCATCCTAATTTACTGGCTTTGGTTAGACACTCTCTCTACATAAACACAGAACTTGATTTATGATTGTAAAAATTACACAGTAGTTGAAAAGATATATGCAGAGAAGTTTTTCTGCCAATTCAGTGGAAGATAAATACCATCGGTGCATCAGTAGAACTATTCTTGGCAAATAGCTATTATTCAGCTCTCCATTGTCATCTGTTAAAAAATAAAATAAAATGAGGGGTGAGGAGGTAACAGCACTACTCTTCTCTTTTTCCAATATTAGCAGAGAAACATTAGTGTCAAAAACTTTTCATAGATCCAATTATCATTTTCCTCCTATTTCTGCTGGTATTTTCTTGCATGTTAAGTGGGTAAGTCTCACCTTTCTTCTGGTTTAGGGTTGTCAGAATTTAGCAAATAAAAATCCAGGACGCTTAGTTAAATTTGAATTAAGGTAAACCACAAATAATTTTCTGGTATAAGTATGTCCCCATGCCTTATTTAGGACATACTCATACTAAAAATGTGGTTTATCTGAAACTGAAATTACTTGACTATCCTGTATGTTATACGGCAATCTTACTCTGGTCTAACTCTTTCTAAAAACAATTCAGCAAACAACTCCTGTGTGACTATTTTTTGTGCAAGAAATAATCCAGAATGCTGAGATGGATCCATAAACAACATAAAAAGCACATAGCTGTAAAGTCTATCATGCAGTAGAAGATAAAAGACATATACGAAATATAGAATGCAGCAGATTCTGCTACTCACACTTGTCTAAGCCAAAAGACCAAGAAATAATCACAGCATCACATACCATATGCCTTAAGAAAGTTACAAGGGGCTGTGGGAGGGCAGAGGAAGCCTTCTTGACAGGGGAGATTAGAAAAAGTATTATGAACACCAGAAATGACATCTGAGATGAGTCCTGAAGTAGAATTTCAGTGGAAGAGGTATGATAAAGGCACGAAGGTAGAAAGATGCAGAGAATTGTCCAGAGACATTCAGCGGACAGTGTGGCTGTGTTATGAGCTGTGGACAGGAAAGGGAAGGAAATGCAGAGGGTAGTGATACTGGGGAGATAGATTGGGGTCAATCGAAAAAGTCTTAAATATACCAAGGTATGGAGATTGCATTCTGTTCTACAGCGATGCTTTCCTCTGAATAGGAGGAAATGATAGCGTCAAGATATACAAAGGGAAAAAAAGGCTCATACCAAACATCTCAATGCAAGTGCTTAGCAGTTCATCTAATGTTGCTGCTTTCCCAAGTCCACTTGACCCCATGGTTATTTAGCCGCTGTCAAAAAACTAGAGACATTTTTGGCATCAGACAGACCATCTCCATAACCATGCAGGTTGGTGATGTCTGTGCTTAGTGGTGGTCTCTGGCCTTAGTTATACTTCAAGACTCTAAAGAAACAAGAAGAAAAAGTGATCAGACTAGAGTTAAACCCATTGAAGCATCACTTTCCTACCTGAAAAGATAATGATTTTCATTGACTGTATCTTTCCACAAGAAAAGTGGCAGAGACTGCATCAACCACCATGATGGCGAAATGTTTGCTAAGCTGTCCCTCATCACATATGGTGCTTTGAGGCCACAGAGATGTTCCCTATTAAATCTCATTTTGCAGCTAAAATTTTTTTGGAAATAATATTTTATACTTCCTTCATATTAAGTGATAAAACATCCAAGAATATTATAAACATTACTTGGTTTAATATTATTATGAGCAAATAGAGAAAGGTAAATTTTAAAGTGCAAATATATATTTATGAGCATTAGCCTCAGTGATTGTAATCGTGTTCAACAACTGATTAAAAAATCTTATTTGCCTAAGTTCTTCAATAGTAACACTATTATTATTGGTAGTAAAAATATTAACAATAATCTATTGAATACCCACATACCAAAAGCTTTACATATATTATTCAACTTGACCTTCTGAAATAGTAAGTATTACTCCCAGTTTACAATGAGGTCATGGGATTTACAAAGATTCGGCAACTTGTCTAAAACCACACAATTATAATTAAGGCCTAGAATTGGGACTCAATTCTAAAATTAAGTTTTGGGGTTTCCTTTTTCCCTTTTATTATTCCCTCCAGTACAGATATCATAAGCTGTCATAATTTACCCCTAATCTAGTGTGAAAAATATCACCCTTACATATCCTCTCAGAAAGAGATATATACCAGATTATCTGTCACAGAGGTAGAGGAAAAATGTAGAGATGACAGATGTCTCATTCTGTAGCACTGTCATGTGGAAATAGAATTGGAAACAACCTCTCAGAGTTGCTTATACTGAAAGTATCCCTGTTGGGGACACATCATTTTATTTTACAGAGCAAGTAGAATAGGCAGATTCTTTTAAATCTAGAAAGCTGGCAGGAATTTCCGTCCTAATAATGTTTACTAAAAGCTGATTTAAGTTAGGAAAACAAGCTAAAAAATGATGCCAGGTCCATATTGGGCTTTTAGAAATCCAGAAGTCGTTATGATGTAAGACAATTACCTACTTTGGACAGTTTAGTAGGTAAATGTGGCCACTGGCCATTCATCTTATGAACTGTTCAAAGTCAATGTCTATTTTACTTTCAAAATTAATTTACTCAACTGGCAATCATTGAGCACCTAACATGGGCGTGGCACTGGACTAAGCACTGAGGCTGCCAAGATGAATAAATCATTGTCCCATCCCTGCCTTCAGTGGGGTCATAGTCAACTTCAGAAAACAAACACATAAATGAACTAAGAAAAAGAAACTAATGTCCATATGTACAGTTGGGGCATATGTACAGATGGGGCATTGAAGAGAAACATTTGAGTGAGTCTGTTCTCCAGGCATGTAACTCTGGAGGAAACATGTTTCCTGTGTATTATTTCTGTATAAGAAGCACATTCTCATGCTGAAGATACCACTCTTAGAGCATAAAAAGAAGGGTTAGTTCACATGTGCAATAAAAATAACAAACACTAGATCGATATTCTCCCACTTTCGCAGTTCAAATGGTTTGAAAAAAGGGAATATTAAAGTTGTCTGGAACCCACACTTTTGCATTTCTTAACCAAATGACCTTATCTGTAAGGCCTTTTGTGACCACCCTATTTCCAACAACAGCACCTCTTTCTCCACGCCCACCTCTCACTTGGCATGTCCTATTACACTTCCTGGATTTATTTTTTTTCTTAACACGCATACGCATCTCATGTATTATGTATTTTACTTGTTTATTTGGTTTTTAGTCTCTCTAGCATTATAAACCTAAGCTTCATGAATGCAGCGATTTTTGGGGTTTTTTTTCCTGGCGTAGTCCTCAGCTCCTAAGATTTTGCCTCTCACATAGAAGATACTAATAAAAGCATTTGCTAAATTAATGAATGAGTGGATGCATGGATGAAGAAATGAATAAAATAAAAATTGTAAAAAGTTTGTCTTTGAATATGTGTACGTTTATATGAATGTGTATCATAAATTCTGAAGAGATTATTTTTTAGTTTGTTTTCCTAACTAAAATCAGCTTTTAGTAAACATTACTAGGACGGAAGTTCCTGCCAGCTTTCTAGATTTAATAGAATCTGCCTACATTTATAATAAGAACTTAGGACCTCTTCCAGGACATTTTGGGGCAGCACTTGTCTGATTTCCTAAATGTAAATTCTGTCAATCCCATTAAAATTCAAGATTGGGCAAGTGACAAGTTTGATCACCTTCGTGTATATACAGACGCTTTTTATCTTGTTAACTTTTATTACTGAATAGTAGATGTATTACTTAGAGCCAAACAGCCCAGATCAATTAAACTAGTTTCTGAGGTCAAATTCAAAATTATTCAGCTGAGTTGTTTGGAGAAGGTGTTGACCTTCCACAGAGGGTTAGAAGTAACCTGGTACCAAAACCCTGTCACCATGTTTTGAGTTATATTTGTGTTCTGCAAAGAAGCCAGCACATGAGAGCCAGGTGAGCTAGGCAATGCAGTTACAATCTATTTCTATAATCAGTAGATATGTCTATGTCCATGCTTAGCATTCTGTTGCCTGTACATTTACCTGAGATCTCATTTCACATGTGTGGATATGATTGTGCCTGTAATCGCTTTTTCAAAAGTAAAGCTTCTTTATTATAAAAGTGATATACATTCATCATTTAAAATAGTAAGGAAAAGGAAAGGAAGAGAAGTTACCCATTATGTCATCATCCAAAGAGAACTCGTTAATATCATGGCATGTTTCTGTTAGGTTTTCTAGGCGCATTTATTTTGTAGAGTTTCTTACATAACCTACAATAGTTTAAAGAAGTACATACCTACTGGTTTCACGCAGATAGATTTCCAGGTCTGAAAGAATTTTAAGGGCAGTTATCATCGTTGGAAAATGCATTGGGAACGTAGTCTGCAGTGATAGCTTATCCAACTTAAATAGTAAGTACTTTGGAGAATCTGAGAAAAGAACAGAAAGACAGAGTTAAATAATAGAAACCCAAAAGAATCCACAGTGTGTTAAGAATTTCCCCAAAACCTTGAATTACAGGTGGTTTTGAGATTTCGTCTAAATTTTACCCATGGAATCAATTAAAGAGAAAAAAAACATTCAAAATATTTATTTGGTGACTTGATATTTTGAAAACCAAGCAGCTTAAAAAAAAAAAATTCAGCCTATTAAAAACCTACCAATGTGGCAAAATCAAAATTTATACTCAAAATTTATATGCAAAATCAATATTTTACACATAGTGTAAAATATTATTTTAGTCCAAATATACTTATATCAGTGGATTACTCATTAAGAATGTCCAAACACTGACTTTGAAATATTAGTAAATCTCTAAAACAGTTTGTTGTGATGATCCTCAAACTCTGAACCTAAATCATTGCTGACTGTCTCAACGTAAATGTCAATGTTATTTTTGTCCAGGTTGTTTAGTCTTCCAATGGTGTAGGAGTTGCTTTATTGTTGATAGGTACTCTCTAGCTGCAAGAAAAATTCTTGCTCCCCAGCATAGACATTTTCTCACAAGTCTGAAAAGAACACAATAAGCCAACATTTCCCCAAGGCTTGAAGGATTTCTGAGAGAAGCTCTCACTTCTAAGAGCAATAGAGTTCCGTCCGTTGTGATTTCCAAAGACCACGATATGTTCATGCAGCTAAAAGACTCTCATTGAACATGGCCAGTGAAGCCTCTCTCTTCAAAAAAATCCTTGTGAGCTTGCTTAGGACAATGAGAACTGTGTTTCCGATTTTAGAAATAGTAAAAAGGAGCCAATTCCATGCAACTATCTACTAACAGATATAAATTAGCACCCTAGGCTTTTAACTGAACATTTCAAGTTTTAAAAAATTGAATTTGAACATTAAGTTTTACTTATCTCCAAGTAAAAGGCGATTAATACTGCTTAATTTACTAGATTGTTTAAAGAGTTAGTGAGATATCATATAAAATGTACCCACCATATCGCCTGCAAAACACTAGGTGCTAGGGGAAGGTGTCTCTCTTTGCCCACGTACCTTTTCCTTTCCAATATTTTAAGTTGAGGACTTAAGTTGAAGTAAAGGACCAATGTGTAGAAGTGATAGAAAGAGAGATATTAGTTTAGAGAAGGGAAAATGAAATAGAGAAAAAATATTGTGGCACTAGAGTCTCTAGTAGTGGGGCAGGTAGCCTCACCAGCAATGGAACCCCATTCCTGAAAGTTCTCCAGCCAAAGAAAGGTAGTAACTGTCAGAGATGCTATAGACTAAATTCCCAGGTAGTGTCCAGGAAATTATACTAACTGGCAATGAAGGTTCCTTCTGGATCTAGAATTGCAGAATTTATAAGATGAAATATTATAGTTAGTAGGTATTCAATGAATAGTTTTAAAATGATATTGGCCATATTAGAACTTCCAAAGATTGTCTTGTCTATAGCATTATCTCTATTCCAAGAGAAACAAACAAAAAAAAACCCTTGAAGTCTCTTCCCTCCTAAATGGCAAGTACTGTCTTTGTATATAAATGACCATATATATGTCTTTACATTCATATGACCTTCATATGGAGACAAGGAGTTTTCTCTAAATGTCTAAATTCATTGTGAAAATGGGTGGTAAGTATTACAAACCTTTAAGCCTTAAGGATTAATGACTAAGGTGCCATTGACTTTGTTTTTCTGGGAAGATTCAAGCTTAATTTTCCTTTCTCACCACAGACATGAAATTTAAAAAGTTCTGCAATTATAGTCTCTGAGACTCCATAGGAGAATCAAGATTATTGAGTTCAGTAAGAGAAATGACAACAAAATTCTGAAAGATAATTTATTTGACAAATACTGTGAATCTATTAGATACCAGATACTAAGCAAAATACTAGAGTGGCTGGCAGAGGAGGCCGGGGGTGAGC